ACAAACTTACGATCAGTGATTGGCCATGTCTATGAAAATACTATGAAACGAATGAAATGAATGAAATGCGATGCGCTTGTCGTGAAAAACATTCAACGAATTGTTGAAGCTTTCAACGCGGACGTAGTATTCAGCGTTTTTATAAATAACAGAAATCTGAATAAATGCGCGAAGGAGATTCTCTGCCGCTTTGCTGGTAATAAAAGTTTTTTCCGGCTCGTAGTGAGGATTTGTTTGCAGCTCGATTCTGCACTACACAGTCGGTGATTATTTTTTGTAGTGATTCACGATGTTGTCTAATTTGGCCCGGAGTACCAAAACATCATGTTCGCAATTTCGTATTGCGTATGCAAAATGAGTACGGACAGAGTAAATTTTGTCTCGTAATTGCTCGTGCCAAGTTTTGCCGTGACTGCGTTTCAGGCCTGTGGCTATTTTTTTCATGGCCTTTTCAACGGACTTGGTAGCGTGCCAAGTATCATTCTGATTCTCAGTCCCCGGTCTCCTCTCTCTCAGGTACTTAAAACACCAATTGATATATCCTATAAAAATGCATATTTACGCATTCCAGTGTTTGACTAGACTGGCACAGTTTATATTTTTTTATGTCAAAAGAAAACGGTGATTTGTAGCCGCGAAAGAAATCTTGAGCAGTTTCACTCCGTTGTTTGTGAGCGACCTCAATCCAAGTTCAAAGTTGCCTGGGAACCTCGTTCTTATCTTGATACATTGTAGCAAGTCCCACTATAAATGTAAACAATGTCGGTGCCGATGTTCTTTCGTTATTGTGAAGCCTAGCCAAAATAAGAAAGAAGAAAAAAACAACAACAACAAAACATGATCACTGGCAATGATAGCAGCACTGAACATGTGACGCGAAACTAGCCATTTCCCGTAGAATAAAAAAAGTACGACCCGGTGATGGATCCAAGCCGCTGTTGCTTGTGAGGTCATGGAAGATTATAGGAGGTCAAATCCGAGAACGGGTGCGTTTCGTTTCACCTGGGTCCGAGGATTCACGTTTGTCGATCCGGGATTTTCCAAGCGCCTTAGATGATGCAAGGACAATCAACATAAATATTACGTGAATATACATGTAATCTCAGACAATTATTACAGTCCTCTTAGTTGTCTGGGGTAGAAAGTAATTTTGATTGAAGAAAACATTGCAAGACATAATTGGAAACAACCTACGCAACGTAAATTATGCCTGTGACTATATTTATTGAACATTGCAGCACAGACCACGTAACTTTAGAATGAACTGTGTATATACCCGACTTGAATTCGGACTCCAACCAGCTGCCTCTTCACCAGAAATGAATTGTTTATTTTACTTTACACAGCTCAGATCAGTAACTATACACATAAACAAGAGATTAGCGCAGACGTCGACTATCTGCATTTAATGAACGATTGACAGTTGTTGTCGTTGAATAATCAGTCAAATTAGAATACTAAGCTCCGCCCAGGTCATGGGTAAAAAATGTCGGCCTTTAATTGACATACCGCAAGACCAAAATTTAAAGTTCAACTACGTTTCAACTTATAGCTGACCAATATTGCATAGATTCGTGTCGCACGTTTGTTTTTCTTCTATTCATTTTTCTACGGTGACCCATCAGTGATAGTACAACTCATCACGACAAAACTCTAGTTGCCGGTCCGGGTACTGGGCTGTAAACCCATGCCGCACTGCGTCGTTTAATACACACTAGATATATACTGACTTAAGTCCGCGTAAATCATGACGATTTTAATCCGATACACCGATGTGCATTCAAATCGTCATTTATACCTAACAAATCCGCAAAATTTATACAATATTTATATACTATGTAAAGTACAATTTGCATAATGCCAAATATTTTAGTTTGACATAAAAAATCGCGAGTCATAAATAGTTACAATACTGGCGCCGAAAAATGATCGAAAACTTGAGCTGAAAATGGATCCTTACCTGTTGAAACTTGAAAATACCTGTAATCACATTCTATTCCAAATTCCTACTAGCATACTGGAGATAATCTAAACTAACCCTAAACCGACTCCCATTTTGTCCCAACGTGTAATCACGCACGATGTCACTGACTGAGCTGGAGGGCAACTGGAATTTGGCTAAATGTCGGGTAAACAACCTTGTAAGAAAAAACGCGTAAATATGGGTAAATATTTTGACCAGACACGTTACGTGTTAAGGGGTATAAATTGCCGTCTTCAAATATCTAGCGTGCTTACACAAAAACGTTCTCAAAAAAACAACACTTGTGTAGTCTTCTCAATAGCTGGAATGAATATGCTGTAATATATACTCGTCCACCTACTCTGTGATTTGGAGAAGAAAGTTAATGTCGACTAGTGTGCAAGTCGAGGCATACATTGTTTAGTAAACAAGAACCTGCAAAAATCAATAACAGAACTGTACATACCTACCTACTTCTCCAGAGCTGGCAAACTATTGATTCTACATTTACAATAAATGACACACAAATTGTAGCCTTATTTTCTTTTCTTTCTAATTTACAAATACCACTGCAATGCTTCAAAAAATCAAGACGATCTACTTCACTGATAAATGTACAACTATCAGTTTGACCAAAGATGAACTGTTGAGTTCATGAATAATTTTTCACTTTGTTAGTGTGTCAGATCCTCATTACCACATTCATAGCTACTGAATTATGCTCACACAGTCTGCTGCATTGGGAGAGTTCCTTCTAAAAAGGCAGTCAGAAAATTGAGTATGTCATTTTACCCACAACTTTATCAAATGTTCAGATGAGTGTAAAGCTTCTTCATGCCAAGTTTTATCAACATTAGTAGAGTATAAGATGTAACCAAAACACATTACATATCTCAGGTAATCAATCATGGTTCGGCGATGTCTATGCAAAGTGAATAAACCGGCAAGGGATATTACTTGAATTAAAACATAAAACTCAAGTTGATCTGATGTTACCTTTTCCATTTCCAGTTCGTAACGTTAAACTGAAGACATGGAACTAGTTATTATATTACTAGGTTTTATCGCAGTATCAACAGCGAATCATGTGACATTGACGGTGAGAAAGTTTAACTGCTTTTGGGATTTAAGTTCATTCATTCATTCATTCATTCATTCATTCATTCATTCATTCATTCATTCATTC